TCGGTTAGCGTGAGCCCTGACTGAACTCTGCAGAAACTTCACATCGATCTTCGCATCGCGATGTAAAACAAAATGTCGGAAAACTTTTCTTTGACGCATGCGCATTTGCATAAATGTCTACACACACACATACACACTACACACAATAAAAAACATAGGAAATAGCAAGAGTGATTACAATAGTTCCTAATGCATTACATGCATAGGAACTAAAAATTAAATACAGAAACCAAATGTAAACAATTGAGAAAAAAAAAAAACTGCAAGCAAGAGGGTTAAGTATTATCAATTATTATTCAAATTGTACCTCTACATCCTGAATTATGATGTCATTCATTGTGTATAAAGCCTCAAGAGAAGCTACATTAACCTAATGATTGGGCCGCTCTAGTAAAATATTGCGAGTGAATAACATCAATTCTAAGTGAAGATTAACCAAACGCAAAACAAAAACATGCATGTTCTAATAACTGCATACCTAATATTATATGACAATTTAGTAATTACTGTCCATTTTAAATAAAATTAAAATGTATGCGAGACTATGTAAATTAAACACTGATACTAAACATGGAAAATAACCTTTAGACATATTCTGATAGGAATGGTCTGATGTAAAGCAAATTTAATTGAATACTCCTTCATAAGGCAAAACCTTTTTTATACATTTATACATTTATAATTTAGAATAAAATCAAATTTTATTTTTGGCCAATTAGTGCAACCACCGCTACGGAAAACTGGAAATTTCAGAAAAAAAATACAAATTTTTCTTTAATTTTATTACGCCTGCCGCTGTCTTGAAATCTGCAAAAATAAGATATGTATATTTCTTCCTATTTATATGGATTTAAAGTATTTAACCATTCCATTACTACACTGTTTACATTCAACAATAAAATTTTAACCATATTTTATCCTCTGCCCGGATGTTTTTGGCAAAACTATTTGCTAAACAAAAGAACAATTTTGTTTTTCTGCTAAACTCTGATGATTTTTAAAAAAAAAAGTTTATGAAGGAATAAAAATTCTCGCCTAACGCATTTGATCTCGCACAAAAGAATGATAAATCACCCAGAATATAATTCATTAATAAATCACAACTAAAAACCCATCATAAGTTTATTACCTACAGTATATAAAACATTATTGAATGATAAATATTTTATTAAGCTGTATAGGCCCATTTATTTTCCAATGGTTCTTAGAATGTAGGAAGTTGATGTTGCAATTCACCAAGATCAAAGCATGGTGAATTGAACAATAGTTTAGCAACGGTCTGGTGATTCTACCCAAATCTGCACACTCTGTTACTTTGTGTTTATTGTCGTTTTGACCTCAAAATGATTTAGAAATTACACGCTTGGCTGCATCACAAACAGGAAAGAGAAATGGAAGAGGTACGGTAGGAATTCAACATGTTTTTAACATTGGTTTAAAATGTTAAGGGTCAATCAGGAAAGTATATAAAATGTCAATTACACCAATATGTACTGTGTAGGCCTATATTAATGCACACATACAACCTTTTGTTAAGTTTCATGATTTTTCACTGTATGTTTGTGATTTTTACAGTGCAATGATTACTGATCGATCACAAAGCCGTATGACAAAAATAAAAACATGATTTAAAATGTTTAATTACCAATCATCAGCCACATAAATTTTGCAATTTCATGACTATATAACGTAATCAAACAATTTTAGAGGTTGTGCTCACTTCAAATTGAGTTTTGACCACATCTTTGTATATAAATTGAATGTAATGTAAACAGTTCTCATAATAGAATGATTTTTCAACTATTTCTTACGTACATTATTCAATTACTGTGTGATGAATCCAGTATGCTGGTGAAAACTTGGGTAATTAAATTCAAACTTATATTTGTCAATAAAGTACTCTATCAGTATTATTTCAATCATTACATTGATTTTCAATCAATCCAACCAAATGACTAGACTATCCTAATATTAAATACTTGCTTTTTAAACCGTGGACCCCAAAATGATGGACAGCGCCAAGGGTTTAAAATACAAAATGGAAGCCAGTGGGCATGGCACTGAGCCGATGGGCGGGCCACTATTATCTTTGGAAATCCCCACCGAATATTGGTACGAAAACAACGTATATTCAATT